TGTTCTGTACCGTTACATCAATACAAACTCATCCCCCTGCTCATGTACTCCGAAAGCTTACTTCAAGCTGAGATGCTCTGATCCCAAAATTAATATTGAGCCATCATGGCCAGTAGCCATTGTTGTCACTCTATGTTTAACTTCTAGATCTAAGGAGAAATTTCTGATGGAACAATTAATCAGTGGAAATGGCTTGCCTCCAGTTATGGGTGCTCCAACACTGGAATTTTAAGAAGAGATAGTTCAACCATGTGTTTGAAATGGTATAGGGGTTTCCTGCCTGAGCAGGGGGGTTGAATTAGAAGACCTCCAAGGTCTTTTCCAACTCATTCTGTTATTCTCTAAGTGTCCCTCTCTAGGTCTCCATCCATCCTTGTGGTCCTTCAGGGATACCCAGAGTCTTCTTGGCTATTCCTTTTCTCTGAAACTAAAAACAGCAGCAAGAAGATTGTTAAACTTTAGATGTGTACATCACTTCTGAATATTGATAGTGGAAGTCAAACAAGAAAGGAGAGATTTTCGAACTGAATGTATACTTTAGCGTCTGCCATTTTTCTTTCTTATGTGCAAGATGCAACCTAGATTACTGTATAAATACAGCTTGGCTAGTTTTCCTATCTATGAAACAACCCAGTAAGTATAACCCAAAAGTCAAGGTTTCAAAAGCATTTGTAAATCCCCAAGATTTAGATTCATTTCCCCCCAGTTAACCTTCCCAGACTAACTGGGAAAAAATGAATTTAAATCTTAGGGATTTACAAATGCTTTTGAAACCTTGACTTTTTCGGGACACTCCCCTACCAGATTTCCAAAACTGAACCCTATGCTTGTATATACCTGAATCATGTAAAACTCTAGTAGACGCATTCTCAAATATGCTATGTTTGATTTGTATTAATCCTGATTAGGATTTATGCGGCTAAGTGCTTTATGGAACCCCAAACTGGTTAGATTATATTTCAAAGTGTTATATGAACGCAGTGGTTAACTGAACAATCGTGTGAAACATGATTGTTAAATGTAACTTCAATGCCATTCTTTTCCTATGTTTAAATATGTAATCTACACGGCACCTGTTTCTACCTCTTCATATTGGGTGGTGGTGGGGGTGGCATTCAGAAGACTGTAAGCTCTAAATTCACATAAAGGAATGTGACAATGATTGTGCCAAGTAATAAAACATTTTGTTAGGAGTCTTTATGGGAACATTACTATAGTACTGAGGAAACAAAGATGGAAGAAACGGTAAACTTGACCGCATGATCCTAAATGTGTCTCCTCTTATTTCTGTTTTGTGCAGCCACACATTATTCCAAATGTTCTGGATATCTAGAGTGATACCACCTAGCGTTCCCATCTGATGTTCCAGTGGGACATCCATCTTCAGGGCACTAGGTTGAGGAAGACCAAAGCTCTATTTGTGATTTCATCTCTTTTGCTTCGTGGGCTTCCCTCTTCTTAAGCTTGCCAGGCTTAACCTGCAGTCCAGCAGCCGTACACCAGCCTTGGCCGAATCCAAGATCCAGAGGAATCCTCTTTTATTCCTGAGTTTTTGCTTCTACATTGTAATGAAGTGGTAGCTCAGAGCCCCCAACCTACGGTCTCTGTTCTTTTGCTTGAGTGCCCTGGGTGGGTGGGAAGCAATCTATCCTAACAGTATCCATGGATACCATTTATAAAATGTTGGTTACAGCTTCTAATTTTTCTACCTCACAAAGAGCTTTGAGGCCTAAGGAATAATCATGGATGATTAGGAAAAGGACAGAGGTACAGGTACTATAACATCACTGGTGACCTTGATGCTGGAGCTGTAAAATCAGGAATTCCCTTTTCTATGGTAGATAACTGAAATGGATAGCTTTCCTCAAATGGTCTAGTTATACATTCTATAATTAGGAATGATGGGTCGATAAACAGTTTATTTCCAGTTTTTCCCATAATATTTTCTTCAGCGTCTCTATAATTTAATGGACTTTAATGTAACACTAGGGCAATATTTTCTTTTCTATCATCTTTTGATTCACTTCTGAGACAGTTCCTACTGCCATAAATATCCTGCCCAACATAGTCAGAGTTGGGTTGTCTGCGTTGGTTGCTTTTATTCACTTCCTCTGGGTATTCCGTGCAATTAATTGAGTCCTTTTCTTTGCTTAATTAGAACTTTGCTTGAGAAAACTAAACAAAATAAAGAACATTTGGTTTCATGTCCTGAAAAGCAGAGTAATTTGAAGGACAGATGGAGTACTTGAGGATAGATGAACGAGAGAATCTTGGCTTGGAGAGAGGTTAGAGAGTGATGAACTAGAAGAAGGAAGGAAGGAAGGAAGGAAGGAAGGAAGGAAGGAAGGAAGGAAGGAAGGAAGGAAGGAAGGAAGGCTAAGTAGGGGAGGATTATGAATGGATGGAAAGTAGGTTTTGAAATGGCTGAATACCAGATGAAAGGGGAGTATCAGGAAAGAAATACTATGGATGCTAAAATGGAACTGGATATTTTATTCAATAGAAAGTTGTATGTGAAAATAACATGACCACTTAAATAGATGGACTGACAGACTTGGTTGATAGACCTTGAGATAGAGAGCCATATTTGACCTTACAATCCTTCTCTAAGAGGAACTCAGAAAATCTGGTTTAGTTTTCTATATTTCTTTTACTGGTGATTGTTTTTTAGCATGTCCAATAATCACCATTATCACTATTATTATGGTCCACATATTAAATTCATGTTCTGCTTTATCATAATTTACAATTGCCTTCCTTTGGAACATTCCAAGCAACTTGTAACTGTTTCCATGTATTTCCAGGCAATTGAATCATAATAAAATAATAATCTCGGAGTAAAAGTACTACTGGTGTCACAACAGAAATCAAGATATTGAACCAGGATTAACAGAAATACGCTTCCCAAACACCATTCTTGGGGATTTCTGAGGTGCACTTCTCCATTCCAGGCAGAAATTTCCATCTTCCTCTAGTAAAACATTTTTTTCACAGTTTTCCATATACTTTCCTCTCTTTCTCTTCCTCAAACACATTGTTTGGCATAAATTATTATCTGCAACTTCATAATCAATTGCTAGCATTAGAATGCAGAAACTCTCTGAAGCCACTGCCTGGAAATTCAAGGCCCTCGAAACTGGACAAATAGAATCCAGCAGCCAATCAATTACTTCTTATTTGCTAGTTCCAACAGAAGAAAATATCTGTAGCTCAGGGTACAATTGTGAAGTCCTTGGTGCTTTCTGAGCATGGCTATTTGCCTGCAGACTTTTCATTACCCAACTAGGTAACATCATCAGTGCTAGTGAGAATGGAGTTTGCTCCCATTTTATATCGTATGGGTTTTGGCTACTGGAGACGATGTGTTCTGACCTTTTTGTTTCCTTCTTAAATTTTTTAAATTACCTCTCAGCAGGGATTAATATCAGGCAAACAATCAAGCAGATTAACTATTGCCCAATCAAGGTATTTCCAAGGAGAAAATGACTTATTTCTATATATCTAGCAAGAATATAACTGCCCCCCAGATTAATAGGGCAAGGTACTGTATATAAACAGGGCACAAACCCCACACTCCCTCACAGTGATGATGTTGCCCTGTCAGGAAATGAAATGTCTGCAAGGAAGCAACCAAGCTCAGAGAGCAGCAAGGACTTTCCACCCATTTGCTTGTTGCAATTCCCGTTTCCATCAGCTTGGAAATTTGCTCCTCACCTTTAATTGACAGAAATCCACAAAGAGCTTTCTGTCTGGAGACTCCAGAAATCCTTCCACATATAACTTCTTGTTGATTTTCTTTCTATAGAATTGAGGAATCCATAGCTCAGTTGGCTCTCCCCAGATAAAGGAAATCTAGGAACGGCTTCTCCCCTCCTTCTGTAATTTGGCACTGTGTATTTGAGGAAGGATTTCCCCCCCCCCTTATCTGATCTGCTGCTCCAACAAAAATCTCTGGGACAATTAAAAAAACAAAAAACACTCAGATGTGCAGAATCTTAGAAATCAAGACCACTATTGGCAAATCCTTGCAATATACAGCCTTGATTCTTCCTGCAAATATTTTGGAATGGAGGCCTGTGATTCCCTACCTTACGGAAGCGTGGTTCTTCTAGCTTCAGTGCGAAATGCTAGAAAGAATGGGCAACCAACTAGCAGCACCACAAAACATGGTCCAGTCTAATCCTAGGGTATTTCCTCTTTCACGTTTCCAGCTGAATTCCCCATTCATTCAACAGCTGCTCCCAACAAGCAGCTGTTCTTCGTAAGGCCAAAACCCCCGCAGCATTGTTTAAATTTCCATCTATCTCTTGAAACCATGCTGCTGTGCCTAACATGAGAGACATTTTTCTTGCTTCTTAAAGGGACCTCGGGGAGAGTGGGGGAAGGAGGGAGGGAGAAAGGAAGGAAGGAAGGAAGGAAGGAAGAGAAAGAAAGAAAGAAAGAGAAAGAAAGAAAGAAAGAAAGAAAGAAAGAAAGAAAGAAAGAAAGAAAGAAAAGAAAATGAGAGGGTGCAACAATAAATAAAAAAGCAATGCATGTAGTTTATATCTTTCTTGGCTGCCTTCTTTTATCCTGTTTACATTCAAATATTGGGAGAAACTCAGTCCATTCAAAAGACACTCATAAAGACACAGAAATGTAGCTGAAACCAACCAGAGGGAACAGCAAAAGGGATGCCCATCAGTAAAAACTGATTCGGACAGAGCTGTTGCATATATGCTTTAGCAAAAGCTGGCTAGAGGTTATCGTCACCTGAAGCGAAAGGGTGGTGAAAGCAGTGCCTGCAACTAGAAATTCATTCTAGAAATCGGATAGTTTTGGTGCAGAAGGGGAGGGGAAAAATCCTGATATGGTTATAAAATTATTCCTATAAATCAGAGCAGATCCATTTCCCCTTCCCGTTCTCCCCAAGTGCCTCCCCTCTACCTCTTTTGCAGCACAGAATGAAGAATATTGAGACGGAGAGAGTGAGTGAGAGAGAGAGAGACATAGCAGCTTACCTTGCAAGCACACCACCGAAAGAGTCTGTTTTCCAAAGGTGTCACCCACTGGGGGAGGTGAGAGACAGCTTCTCCTTTTGTCCCCCCCACCCAGCAGTGGGTTGGTGGTGGCACCAGCCGGAGAAGATCCTGCGAAATGGCGTTTTATGTCGAGGGGTATTTTGCTGTATAGGAGAGAGATGCTAGCATGCTGTTATTATGTCATAGGGAGAAACCATTGGAGGGAAAGCAGGAAAAAAAAAAGAAGAAGAAAGCAAGCAGAAAGAGGCTGGTTAAAGCAACAGAGAGGCACATCGGGCTGAGACGGAGTTACGTAGCGATGGGGACAGTCTGGGTGATGCCGGCACACATTGTGAGGCATTGTGTGTATTCTGCACTAGGTCACCAGCCTCCGCTGAGGTGATGTGTGTGGTGGGAGGCATCTCTCCAGCGTAGTCTGAGCTGTGGGGAGCACATATCTGGGTGCATTAGATGACCAAGTACGAGTGTGGGGAACTAACGTTTAAGAGTTCTTCTGAGCACAAGCAGAGTGCATGCTAGATGCCTCTGAATTTTTCCTTCTGCTTCCCCTTTCCACACAGGCACTATAAACCCGGAGTGACAACCTTAAGCAGGATAAGGCAGGTTTACAAATTGCTACTTCTATGCTGCTAGGTATACAGATAGTCCTTAATTGGGACCAACATTTCCATTGCTAAGCAAAACAGTTGTTAAGGGAGACACCCAAATTTATAAACTTTTTTTTTGCATGGTTGCTAAGCAAATCTTCATCGTTAAGCAAAGCCAGTTTCTCCCATTGACTTTGCTTGTCGGGAGAGGTGGAGAAGGTCACCAATGGTGATCAAAAATACAGGCCAATTGCTCACATTTTAATTGCATGACTGTGGAGATGCTGCAATGGTCATAAGTGCAAGGACTGGTCAGAACTTGTTTTTTGAGCATCATTGTAACTGTGAATGGTGGCTAAACAAGTGGCCAAGGACAACCTGAATATGGCATTTATAACATTGCCCTGTATGTCAAGCATTATTCTCAGTGACTTAATTTTGTGACTTTTACACAACTCTATTGCCTATCATTGTGCTTTCTTGCTGTATATTGGGTTGGGGGAGCAACATACTCATGCATGCTTTGTATGTGGCATGTCATTTTGATCATATGAATGCATACTAAGCAGTGGTGGATTTCAAAAATGTTTAGAACCTCTTTTGTAGGTGTGGCCTGCTTTGTGGGAATGGCTTGCTGGCCATGTGACTGGATGGGAGTGGCCAATTTGTAAAATGTGGTGAAACTCACTTAACAACACTCTTGCTTAGCAACCAAAATGTTAGCTCAGAAACTCTGGCATTTGAAGCATGAAAGTCTTAGAGCTGTCAAATTACAAGATCCTTGCACCCCTAACCCTTTAGAAAAAATACCCCAGGGGTGTTCAAACTTGACAGCTTTAAGACTTGTGGACTTCAACTCCCAGAATTCCTCCTCCAGTCATGTTGGCTCAGGAACTCTGGCATTGAAGCACGCAAGTCTTAAAGCTGTCAAGTTGCAAGTCCCTTCCACCCCTAACCCTTTAGGGAAAAAAAACCCAGGGGTGTTTAAACTTGACAGCTTTAAGACCTGTGGACTTCCACTCCCAGAATTCCTCCTCTTGCTCTTCATCTTGATGATGTGCGGACGGGCGGGGGGAGGGAGCTGGGACGAGTTTCTAAATGGCACTGTAGATTTGTGGAACCTCTTCTATAGAAGAGGTTAGAACTGGCAGCAACCCACCCCTGATGCTAAGTTAATAGGTCTATGACAGGTTGCTTACTTTCAGATAAGATTGTTGTGAGCACATCACATTATTTCTAATCCCAAAGGTGCTTTCTCAAGAGGCAACTGGACTTTCTTCTTTTTTCTTTGAAGGCATTTCGTTTCTCATCCAAGAAGCTTCTTCAACTCTGACTGGATGAAGAAGCTTCTTGGATGAGAAGCGAAACATCTTCAAAGAAAAAGCACCTTTGGGACAATCATGACCTGAATGACTGAGAATGACTGAGAAAGAGCCAAGGTGGCGCAGTGGTTAAAATGCAGCACTGCAGGCTACTGCTAGATCAGCAGGTCAGCGGTTCAAATCTCACCGGCTCAGGGTTGACTCAGCCTTCCATCCTTCCGAGGTGGGTAAAATGAGGACCCAGATTGTTGGGGGCAATATGCTGACTCTCTGTAAACCGCTTAGAGAGGCCTGAAAGGCCTATGAAGCGGTATATAAGTCTACTGCTATTGCTATTGCTATGAGAATCTCTATAGACATTATTTCTAATGTTTATATGGATGTTTGTAAGCTACTTTCTAAGGGACGTGGTGGCTGAGATGCTGAGCTTGCCAATTAGAAAGGTCAGCAGTTCGGTGGTTCGAATCCCTAGTGCCACATAACAGAGTGAGCTCCTGTTACTCTAGCAGTTTGAAAGCATGTAAAAATGCAAGTAGAAAAAATAGGAACCACCTTTGGTGGGAAGGTAACAGAATTTTGTCCACCTTCGGCATTTAGTCTTGCTGGCCACATGACCATGGAGATGTCTTCAGACAGTGCTGACTCTTCGGCTTTGAAACGGAGATGAGCACCTGCCCCCTAGAGTTGGGAACGACTAGCACATACCTTTACCTTTAGCTGTTTTACCTTAGTGAAGTACACCACAGCCATTTTAGTAAACCACACCCACCTTGGCTTGAGATAGGATGACTATGCCTTGCTTGCTTTTGCCTGTGACCTAGTGATAATCACTTGGGTCCTGCAATATATTTTTTGGGTGTCTTCTATAGCATCACTAGCACCTGATTGAATGGCTGCAGGTGAGCCCTGTGAGTGACCTCAGATTAGGAGGGAACCCCTTGACCAAGCTTCCCCATATATACATCCTTTTTTTGAGTAAGTGATAGAGTAACCAAGCAGGGATATGCCCTGGCATATTTAGGCAACTATGAATAGAAGAGACTATTTGTAATTCAGGTTTGTGGGATCCTTGATGTTCTCTGAACTTGGTTGTTTTCTTGCAGCTATTTCGTTACCCAAATAAGCAACATCATCGGGGATAGATAGTGTTAGACATCAGTGCTAGACAGAGCTTCTAGCACTGACAATGTTATCCTGTTGGGTAATGAAACATCTGCAAAAAAAAATTACAGCCAAGCTGTTAGAGGCACCAATGACCCCACAGTTAGAAAACTATACCGCCTCGTTTAAATATAGAATTTATGCTCTTTCATCTTCATAACAATTTAACCTCCTCTGTCTCTGGTGCAGGTACTCATCAACTTACAACCACAATTGAGCTCAAGTTCTTAAGTGAGACATTTATTAAGTGAATTTTGCCCCATTTTACAACGTTTCTTGCCAGAGTTTTTAAGTGGATTGCTGCAGTTTGTTAAGTTAGTAACGCGGTTGTTAAGTGAATCTGGCTTCCCCCATTGACTTTGCCTGTCAGGAGTTCTCAAACAGTGGCCATAGGATCACGGGACACAGCAATCGTCATAAATATGAACCAGTTGCCAAGCATTTGAATGTTGATCACATGACCATGGGGATGCTGGAAAGGTCATAACTCTGAAAAATGGTCATGCCACTTTTTTCCAGTGCTGTTATAATTTGAACGGTCATTAAATGAACCGCTGTAAATTGAGACTACTTGTATTCCCTTACTTGCAGCATGAGTAACCATTTAACCATTTAAATAGCAGATCTGTCTGGGAGTTAGGTACCCGGATTTTTCCCAGTGCATAACGTGCCCCTCTTTTTTTTTTAAAATAATACCCAGATTTCTACTCCATGCCTAAAACGTTCCAAGGGACTTCATGACTTATGGAGGTCAAGCCATTGTATTCTAATTATATGGAAATAATATTCCATACTGTGTTGACGTGGTGGCTCAGTGCCTAAGATGCTGAGCTTGTCGATCAGAAAGGTCGGCAGTTCGGCGGTTCGAATCCCTAATGCCACATAACGGAGCGAGCTCCCATTACTTGTCCCAATTTCTGCCAACCTAGCAGTTCAAAAGCATGTAAAAACGCAAGTAGAAAAATAGGAACCACCTTTGGTGGGAAGGTAACAGTGTTTAGACATGCTGGCCACATGACCATGGAGATGTCTTTGGACAGTGTTGGCTCTTCGGCTTTGAAATGGAGATGAGCGCCGCCTCCCTAGAGTCAGGAACGACTAGCACATACGTCCGAGGGGAACTTTATCTTTACCTTACAGCAGGGGTGAAATTCAGCAGGTTCTAACAGGTTCTGGAGAAGCGGTAGCAGAAGTTTTGAGTAGTTTGAAGAACCAGCAAATACCACCTCCGGCTGGCCCCAGAGTGGGGAGGAAATGGGGATTTTGCAGTATCCTTTGAATTTGAATTTCACCACTGCCTTACTGTGTTGTTCTTCCTTTATTTCATCAAGTCGAGTAGTGTAGGACCGCCTCGTTTCAGAGAGTGTTGCGTAATCACAGGGGACACTGTAATCAAGGACCCACATTTTCTTGCAGGGTCCCTTTTAAAGATGTGGGTGGCTAGGAAGACAGATGGGGGAAAAAGGACTTCGAATTCAACAAGACACAGATTGATCAGTGTTTTGCAGGCTAGAAAACAATAGCGCTTGAATTATGCCCAGAAATGAAGACGCAAGCAGTACAGAGTGAATGGAGAATTTATTTCCTTCCACATATTGCTGGATTACAATATCCCACCCAACTAGTATGTCCAAGAAATTTCCAAGATTTCCAAGATGCTGGAGATCTAGGAGGCAGCAAATTCCCCATATCTGCAATGTAGTTTCAGCACTCACGTGGTCCTTCTCCTGCCCACATCAATTCAGCGTTTCTTCAGTAGAAGAAACTCATTTTTTGCACTTCAGCCTACACAGTCCAGATTGAACTTTTTTTTTTATAAAGCAAATGAATGATAGAAGACTCTGAAATTGGATGATTATCTGCAAGAACCAAGGGTAGATTATACATTACATTAATCCTAGTTATGTCCTCTCTTTTGCATTATTTCACTTTCTACGATCCCTCTCGCATTCTTCAGGATTGCACCCTACAGGGGAGCAGATGGACCCCACCCAAGTGTCCTTTTGGGCAACTCTCAGCTTAGAGGGGGCCTCTCACCCCCACATTTCAGTTGTGTGCAGAGACTGGCCATTTAATGCATC